CGTACGTGTGTGCGTGTGTGTGTGTGTGTGTGTGTGTGTGTGAGAAAGAGAAAGAGAGAGAGAGCGCGCGCGCCAGGAATAATACCGAAGCATGTGCATACAAGATCCGTTAGAAAAAGCACAAAAACTCTAGAAAAACCAATCTCTCTTTGGATTAGATTTACTATGTTGATCCTAAATTGGGACATTATTTTGTTACAGCATGTTTACAGGCTTTGCATACAAGTTCATTCATTATATTTTCTTAAAACTGAAGATGTCCGTACAGCTCTTTAAATCATTTGGTGAGGAATTCCAGTTTAACCCCAACTACAGAGTTACTCATCTGTTTTAAAGTAGTATGTGTGCAAACTGATGCCTGTTGAAAATGTTATAAAATAAACAGTAAATATACATATTCAAAGTAGAAAGATATATAGACAATTTTTAGCATAGATAATATAGAATATACAGAATAAGTTTGTAATAGACCAACCTACTACAAAGGATACTATATACATATATTATAGAAGTGTGAAAGTTGCAGTTTATAGGTAAGTAAAGTGTGAGTTATTTTAAGCGAAAACAGAGTGAAATCTGTTTTGTTTTTTTTTTATTATGAAGCTGGAAGTTGGCAGCAAATATTTCCTGTTTCAGTTCTTGTAAAATCTTGATTGTACAGAATCTAACTGCAAAGACCAGGACTTGTGTGATGTGATTTAAGATGCTGAGTTATTATCTCAGTTACCTTATCAGTGTGTCCGATGAAGAATCTCTGCTGGTTAGACGATATCTTCATGGAGACGATGATTGCGTGACACGGATACACAACTTCATCACCCGATTTGCTCCACAGGGCCTGTAAAGTAAAGAAGTCCAGTTGTTAGACTCCATGGCATCAATGCATCATTTGTACCCTTTCAAACTGTACGCGAGTCCAGCATGATGAGACTCTACGGCCCGTTCACACAGCGGCGTGCGTTGACGCTTCACCATTCACTTTGAATGGGGTGACGTCACTTTTCGCCGAACTGCATTGTGGGAAGCGACGTGGAGCGTTGCTGGCGTTGCTTGCTGCAAAAGTTGAGCAATGTTCAACTTTTGACGCCTTGGCAGAAGCGTCAGCCAATCGAATCATATGCCAGTACAAGCTCTAGCCAATCAAACCGCTGCTTGTGTGTCAGGGGCGGGAGATTCATGTGATTGGTTGTTGGTCGAGTTTCAGACACGCCCGCCGGCAAGCGTCAACGCACGCCGCTGTGTAGACGGGCCGTATCACTTTTTTTTTTGTGTGTCAGTCATCCACACCAATTCAGAAGTGCTAGAAGATGATAGACAGATTGGACCAGTCACCTGCCAAAGTATTTTTGAAAGAGTGCCCTGCCCTTTCCAAATGGCTTCCAATGGAGCTTTCCTAGATGGTTTCTGAGTCAGGTTAGCAATGCTCCAATCACATGTTTTTACACACTATTACAGGGTGAATCTTAAAACTGAAGCTTGACTTTAAAGCAACCCAAGGAAGTTTCATGTAAATTTAGTTCTTCACTTCGAACTCGGCTGCGGGGGTGCTAGAGACGGAAGCACGTTGATACGACCTTCACCTACCGGAGATATGGCCGCATCTTACGAATAAACCTTCCGGTGGGTCGCTTAAAAACAAATATCGCAAATGATCGAACGCAATATCTGTCAGAAAAAATCGCAATTAGATTATTTCCCCAAATCGTGCCAGCCCTACTTCAACATGAGCATACAACTATATAAGTAAGTGGCTCCCCCAAGCCGAGTGATTCGATTGAGCCTGAGAATAGGGTCGGGAGCAGCTTCTAAGGAGGAGAGAGTAGAAAAAAGTGGATGAGCTCTCAAACTTTTGATGGATTCCTGTGTTCCACTCTGTAACTGACTCTCCTCTCTCACCTGTGCTGTCTGCGCTTTGTTGGAATGATGATAGATGCACCGGGGTGGCGAACTGGAGTGCAAGCAAGACCTGGGAATATAGCAAGAAGAGTGTTTACAACGCTGACCTCCTGGTGAGACAGACAGAGAGGACTGTGGTAATATAATGGCTTTTCTGTTGCTGTTAAGCTAAATTGAATGTACGACCTAGAGCAAAACAAGCTTCCACCTCCTGTTCACTTGTCCCTCCCCGTGTTGGCTGAAGCCGTCCCTCAGGATGAAGGTGAACATGAACGCCCCCGTCATCCGGGTGTCCCAGAAAGGCCCGGATGTGAACTGCTCTGAACTAGGTTGTCTCCTTGCTGGTCCAGTATTTTGGCCGGAGGGAATTCATCACTGTGCTGAGTAGGAAACAGACCCTAGCTCTGGGTATTCAGTCAGTCCACCCCAGGGGGGTTGATTCCTTGGGATCGTAAGAAGGACAGAAGGCAGGACACTGAGAAGCGAAACATATAGCAGCCTCCTCAGGAAAACTCTAAGCGATCTTCAAAACAAATCTAACGTCCGCCTATTGCGAGGGGGAACAAAATTCATGCTGATTCGATTTTAAAATACTTTTATTAATAAAGGTAGATTATGGTCTACGGGGCTGTGGTGGGAGTCTATTTTTATAGGGGTGGCCGCTGCAGCCGAGGAATACTAACGAATAACCGATGGATGGGCCGAAACCGATACCGGAGAATCA